ACATGTATCCAAAGGCATTGGCTTCCTAAAAACCAGCTCAGATTAAAAGATCACTAATTTCTCTTTTTGGTTTTATCAAATGGATGAATTCAGGGCCAAAGAGATCATTTTTCAAAGGAAACTTTACACCTTTAATCCCATGCAGAGGCATGCAGATCTCTGTGAGATTGAGAGTTCAAGGCCAGTCCAGTCTACATAGCAAGTTCAAAGGAAGCCTTGAAAAATGTGTAGGCATTGCTCACTCTGTGTCCAAGTTTCTGCTGTAATTTTAAAAAAACAAACAAACATTCTATGCATCTCAGACAGCTGTGGAAAATGCATATTTTCTCTCTTACCCTTTTACTCTGTACAACCCCCCTCTGCCCCACCCACCATCACCACACACACAGACACACTCTGCTGGGGTCTGGATGCTGTGTCCCTGCCGTGTCTGTGGAATCCCTGGCTACCATGGTGAAGATATTCAGAGGTGGGAATTTTGAAAGGAGATTCAATCATGAAGCTGGGCACTTACGAGTCTCCTGCCTTACCCTGAGCAATCATTGTTGAGTTTTCTGGTGAAAAGCACCACTATGAAATAGCTCTTCCATAGATATCAAATCTTCTAATTCCTTATCTGGGACTTAAGTGGCCAGGAATTAAAAACAAGATTTCTGTTGTTCCTAAGCCCCTCAGTCAGTGATATGTGCTGTACCTGCAAAACTGACTAGCACACATGCATACATGTGTACTCGGTGTAATTAGAAAAAAATATACTTTTTTCTTAGTATATAGTTAAAAGTATTTCCAGGCCCTTCCCACAGTGCCTGAGCATGCCTGTGTGAACTATTGTGCATGGAACTTATATCAACCCTGATTCCTGGGGACTCTGTGGGGACAGGCTAATGCTCACCACAGTATAGCTTCTGTGCCAAAGTGTGACCCTCTTTCTTTCCATGGGTGCCTTAGGGATGACTGAGGGGGAGGCTGAGAGAGGATTTCTGGTACTGGCCCTGCTGGGTACAGGCCTGCAGGCTGTGGGCTTAATAACTACTCCAAGAGTCAGTTTGCGTTTCCCGAGGAGAAAAGCTTCCCTAAAGCAACAGTGGAGATCTTTCCAGCCATTAATTTCTATGACAGAGTATTGGACTCAAAAGAGAAAATAACACGTTCATGCTCTTCAGTGGACATAAACAAAAATCTGTGTAGCTCTTGGTTGGTCTTAGCAGTCTGCAAAGGAACACAGCCAATAGAACATACATGTGACCAGAGTGTGATTTACTAGGTGACCAGAGGCCGGTTAGTGGCTGCCTGCAGCCTGGAGAGCTAAGGGGAGCAATACTTGCTGCTCCATGCTTAGAGACCGGAAGAGCAAAAAGGATGCAGATGCATAGGAGGCTTCGGGTCTAAGCCCCTACCTATCTCAAGTTGCTAGTGAAAATGACTTCAAAGGCTGGAGTCTGATGTCTTCTTACAGAGACAGCAGGAGAAAATCTCACACATGCAAGAGAAGTATAGTCTCAGAAAGGGAGGGAGGCAAAGGGGGGAAGGGGGGAGGGGGGAGGAAAGTCTATAGCACTAATTATAAAAACCCAAAGACAGATATTGGGAAGCTGAAGGTCAGAGAAGCAAAGCAGCCAAGCCAGTAGTTCTGCGCCCCCCCCCCACCTCCTGCTTTTAATTTCACCCAGGCTCTCAGCCAATTGAATGATACCACCCATGATCAGGGTGGGTCTTCCCCCCCTCACTTCTCCAGCCTTCATACCACTAGTCTCTGAAGTATCCATGGGGCTGCCTCTTAGATGTGTGCTATACTAGTTTTCTAGGCGGTTCTCGGTCCACTAAAGTTGACAACCAAGATCTACCATGGCCAGTAAGATGGGGAACATGTGTGGCATTTTAGCACGTGGTTTGAAGTCAGGTACTAGGGCTCCCTCCCCTGGATTGTTTGTGCTTTCTAAGCTGGAGCTGTCACCTGGCACAACTTCCACATACAAGGGAACAGAAAGCTTTAAAACAAAATCCAGGTAGGTTATATGGCTCGGCAGGTAAAGGTGATTGCTGCCAAGCTGTCACATGAATGTGATTTCCAGGATCCATGACCCACATGGTAGGAGAGAAAGGACTCCTTCAAATTGTCTTCTAAGCTTCTAATGTACACTGTGACACATATATGCCCCCACCTACCAGTAAAATAATTAATTAAAAACACACACACACACTCACAATAAAAAGAAAAATACTACTATGGAAAAATACCTTGGCAACATTTCCCACGAAGGCTGAAGGTGAAGGTGCAGGACTGACATTTTATATAAAGACAGCCTGTTCTTTGTAGAAAATTTAAATTAAATTGAGTGATACAATCACTTTAACATTTTCTCCTGGGACTCTGTGCCCTATTTTAGTAACAAAAGATCAGCTGTTCCCAAAGATGCCCTTTGAATCCACTTTCAAAAGAAATAAAAGGATTTTCTAAAATACTGGGGGTGGAGGAAGCAAAGGCTTGCCCTTATAAGGCTCCAATAACGTCATTTGGAAAGCAATTTCAAGTGTTAGATAGCTAATTCTCTCCTTGTCTATGTGACAGATTCACAAGAATCTAACAGATTTATCTAGAAACTTGAACAAGCTACAATCACACCGAGGAGTGGAGCGATTTAGGTGCATTCAGAGTGTGCCCAGACTGCAAAGTCCTCTGGTGAACTTTTTCTTCTTTCCCATTATCTTCAAATTCTTAACAAAATCGTCCAGCGCTCTCACTTGGAGACCTACCGCAGCAAAGACTTTTGAGTGTCCCTTTATTGAAAGCGCTCTTGGACTTCCTGGCTGTAAGCTGCTAGCTTGGCATGAGTAAACAGAGAAAGTGGTTGTTGGACTGTGTTGGACAAGGACGGGTGACTGGCACCCCTCCACACGGGTGACTGGAGGAAGAAGTGCTCAGGCTGAAGAGAGGCGGCGTTGGGTCTCACAGAAGCAGAGTTATCAGAACATCCTCTCATCAAAATCTTTTGCCCTCATGTTTTCCCATGATATAACAATGGTCCCTGGTGTTAGAGGAGAGGATGAGGAATCCAGCCTTACAGATCTCAATTGACCTTCTTGGCGACTCCAGAGTTGGGGAGCAGTCTGCATTCAGTTTCTCAGAGTTCTCTCCCCAGGAGCTGATTGTATCTATAGAGTGGAAGCAAGGCTAAGTGGTCCTATTGGATGCAACTTGAGTCTGTCCTCTTTGACTGGTGGCATCTAGTGACTGGCTGAGAGTCACCTGCTTGCTCCCACAGTAGGTTACAACCTGTTGACTTATCAAATTGCAGTGTACACTAAATGAGAAAATGCTTATGTATGAGGTAGGAGCTTCATGCTGGGCTGGTGGAGTTCCCCACACAAATCTGAACATCCCTTTTGTTGTTGTTGGTTTGTATTTGTTTTGTTGTTGTTGTTGAGTCCTCTACCTGTGCAGTTACTCTGATTCAATCAGATTTTTTTTCCTACATTAAATCATGAGTGCCTGGAACTTGGGTTGGCTAAAAAAAATTTTTAATTGTATCTTGTGATTCTTTATACCCAACAGTAAGTCATTTTTCTTGATTAACTGTAAAGATAGAGTACTGTTCACAAGGCAGATCAGTCCACTTCCAGAAAGCACTCGCTGTTTCCACAATGTGTGTGGAAATGATGCTGTTTGTGCTGTCACGTCCAGTGCCCTGCTGCTAATAAGTCACCCACAGTGTGGTATGCCTGATCCCTGATTCTCGCTGAAATCCAGGTAGTTCGTACCTCCTTGTGTATGCTCCCCTATCCACTTTTTATGGAACACAGAACAATGGGATTCCGATTCCCAAAACCCAGATTCATGTTTTATGTCCATGATCCTCTGTAGACTCATCACCCCCATCCTGCCTGCTTCTACCCATTGTTCCCTCCAGCATTGCAGCCCCCAGGGACAGCACAGTGAGAATGTGACAAGAGCCAGGGATCAGTCTCTGAATCTGTTCATATCAAGCCCCATTAAGTTGAGAACATGTTTGTTTGGCTGAATTCTAAACATATCTGTGTTTTGTTGTTAAGTTTAAAATGCATCCTGCCCCAGTGGCTAGTTTTCCAGTACCTTTGAGTGTTTATCTACTGCTTACCTTGTTGAATGGCATCATAAGGAACTCTGTTGATGTCTGTATTCCAGTGTGGATTCAGGAGTCATGTGGAAATTAGTGATTACATTCTCAGCAAAATTGGTTAGATTGGAGAGAGAAAGGAAGGGAGGTGAGGATGGAGGGAAGGAACTTTAGGCAAGTTATAATACAAATAATTATAGTAAGAATGATTTTCACAGTTTATAAGGATAGGTTTATACTTTCATTGTGTGTGTGTGTGTGTGTGTGTGTGTGTTCCTTGCGTGCATGTATATTCACTGCATGTTTACCTCATGCCCACAAAGGGCATGGAATATTCTGAAACTTGAGTTAAAGACAGTTGTGCTGTTAATCTTGAGATTTATCAGTGAAAGACCAGTTCCACCATCTTGGGCCAAATTAAAGCAAGTCTTTATTAAAATTGTATATATCAACCAAGATGGAATTTGGTGAGAACCACTTCCTGGAACTATCCCAGCAGAGTGACCCTTAGATGAATTGGGCTGGCTTTTATGGACAAAACCCATAGGTCAACTTACTTTCCCATGAGGCTTTGTTGTTATTTTTAAGAACTACAATTCCCAGCATTCTAGGAAGTTTCCTGGTTCTTAGGCAGGTGGGGCTTATTGGATAACTTAGGGTCTAACAGATAGGGGAGCTAGCAAGTGTTCTTAACCAATAATAAGCTGCCTTCTTATCTCAATTCCCGCCCTCCCTCTCTCCCTTTTTCTTTCTTAATATACTGGAGAAGAGGTTCCAAACAAATTAAAATAAGCAATCTAAATGTAAGCAAGAATTTTATTTCTTTCTTAAACAAATAAGGAAGTCATTATGAGATATTCTGTGAAGCATATTTTTCATCTCAGTGAAACCAAATCTTCCTTGAAGTCTTTAGAGAGAAACTGGAAGTTAATCCGTGATGAAGGCCTCATGGTGATGGATAAAGCCAAGGGTCTCTTCCTGCCTGAGGATGAAAACCTTCGTGAGAAGGGGGACTGGAGTCAGTTCACACTGTGGCAGCAAGGTAAGCCCTTGGCTTCTAAATTGTCTTCTGTATGCCCTGACCAGGTGACACGTGGTGGGAGTCTTCTGCCGACAAAGCTGCCTGGGAAACCAAAGGTTCTGATATATTAGTGGTGTGTCTTCCCACCTCCAAGATCCAGATCACAAGTGGATCTTCCCACTTCAAATGATTTAATTAAGCAAAAATCCCTCACAGCTGACCCCAAACATTTTGGGGTTGTAGTTAATTCCAGATGTAGATAACCAAAGTAGCCATCAACAAGGCCTGTCTAAAAGCCTAGATGTTGGGTCCATGCCAGCTGGACTGGAATTCCCAATTCTCTGCTCTTTCGCTTACTGCCTGGCCCCTCTGTGTGCCAGTTTGTCCTCCACGTAATACTAGCTGAATGCCTGCCTTCCTGGGTGCAGTGAGCATAGTACATCACTCTAAGCATCTGACCATGGTGAGCACTATGGGAATTTGGTGTTTGGCGTACCAGTCACATGTGGATTGTAAATCTACAGGTTGCAAGCCACTGATGTTGGACCACTACTGCACAACCTTCTCCTGAGAGCGAATATGTATTTTCTGACTACAGGAAATATACAAGACGTGTCATTGATGCTTGAGACCAGAAATAGTTCAGGTTTCAGTTTTTCTGACCTGGGAATATTGGAGTGGACTTTGCCAGTTGAGTGTTTATGATCCAAGCATGGTCTAGACCTGAGGTCATTTGAACACCATTCCAGAATTCTCTATTCCTTTCACATTGTAGATAATTAGACTAGGGGTCCTCACTTTTTATGTGCCTAGAGGTCTCTAACCCAGACCTGACTAGGCAAAGTCCTGGTGACAGGACCCATTTGGTAGCCCTGATACAACTGACCAGTCAAGTGCTGCACAAGCTCACCAGTGTGCTGTGGGAAACCCAGCTGCTCTGGTGGCTTTCCAAGCTATGAGGTTTTGCCCCAGCCTGAGTATCCCAGGCCATAACCTATGGTCTCCTGCCAGCCTTCTCCTAACATGGCTCATAGATGCCTGGAAAGTCAGGGTTAAAGAGTGCATTATGATGTTTGTTCTCCAAACTAACATGAGTTGTTTGGCTAGTGGGACTGTACTATTATTAACTAAAAAGAGCAACTAGCAGTGTACTCAATGAAAGAGCAAAAAGTTCATATGCAAAGAACTAATAAAACTGCATGAGCTGTTTCCTAAGTCTAGTGTTCCATTTGACTGAGGCAGAAGTCATGGCATTGCATCTCTTAGAACTCATTTTGTTTTCAGCATCAGATTATCTTGGTGCATATTAACATTAAAGTGAAACTCATCTGTAGATGTAGGATGTAGCTTCTTTTATAGGAATTTTGAATAGGAAACAAAAATTTCTGTCTTAAAAAAATCATTATTTTTCTCCTCCATGAGAGGAAGTGGTACTGCGTACATTCTGAGCACATCTTCCCAAGAAGCATGTGGGGAAATTCTACATGGTCCGGGATGCTGAAGAGAATGCCCCAGAATCTATGTTCTTTTACAGTCACTCATTAAGTTTTTTTCTGCTCAAAGACCCTCACTCTCTTCATTTAAATGCCACTTTATCAATATTAAAGATTCTTTGAACATTGAAAAATAGACTAAATCTCAACTTAAAATGTTTTGACATTCCTTAGAAATACATTGTAGGTTAGGTGTAGAATATAAGGTGCTTTTCTCTCTCAGAGGCTTCATTTATTTCCAGTGTGTGCTATAACAAATTGGCACAAACTAGTGACTTGAAAGTGTGGCTCAGAAGTCTTCAGTGGGTTTCACTGACTAAAACAAAGTTGTTATCCTCCAACAGATGTCAGAATCTTGAACCTATGATGGCTCTTGTCTTAAGTGCTCTTTAATCTCGAAAATAAGCAATAGCTTCTCAGTCTTTGTCATCTGAATGACAGACTCTTCTCTCTCACTTTGCACATTTAAGTGCCCTGTGATGACAGCAACCTCTGTCTTTCTTTCTCTTGGCCTTCACATTCCTGTGGTGGTGATTCTACAAGCAAAAATGGTTCAAATGGGATTAGATAAAGTTTTATGCAGTTTAGTTTTGGGGTGTGTGTGTGTGTGTGTGTGTGTGTGTGTGTGTGTTTCAGTTGGGTCTCACTATGTTGATTGAATGGTTTTGAACTCTGAGACTCAAGTGATCCTCCTACTTAACTTTCAGCGTAGCTGAAACTACAGATGCATCATGGCAACTGTGATTTGCTTCTCACAATCTTTTTATCGTGTTTTATTCTAGGAAGGAAAAATGAGAATGCCTGTAAAGGAGCCCCTAAGACCTGTACTTTACTAGAAAAGTTCTCTGAGACAACAGGATGCAGGAGAGGACAGGTACCAAGGGTGTTTTCAGAGATGGGAAGAACACAGTTTGTTGTCAGGAAAGAGGTGAAATTGACCTTTACAAAACCATGAGTATTTCCCTTGGCATAATGGATATCTCTTTTTCCATTCAATTTTTAATGGAGCATAACTTCCCATGGTTGGTGTCAAAATTTGAAGGTAGAAAATGTGTTTTGTCACTCCATGGAACGTGAGAGTGCTTGTTTTTTTAAATTCCTTCACTAGGAAATAATATGTGACTCTAAATCCCAAGGGCTACAAGGACTCTCCTATGAGTTGATGCTGATTCTGCTGCTTGTCCACACATTAACAAATGGATGACTGGGTGTCATACTTTCTGTGCAGATCAAATATTCCATCATGCACCCTGGAACTCATGTGTGGCCACACACAGGACCCACAAACTGCAGGCTCCGAATGCATCTAGGGTTGGTGATTCCCAAGGAAGGCTGCAAAATCCGGTGTGCAAATGAGACCAGGTATATTTCCTTTGTCATTTTTCTATTTCACCCATCACTCAACAACTGATGTTCCTTATAGAAAATCTATGTTCATGGGATGTGTCCTTTCTTTGTAGCTGAAGTAGACAGGAATGAAAGAACTTGCATCTGGACTCTAGCCTGTGACCTTTGTGCATTCTAGAAGTATAGAGACTCCATTCCAAGTCAGGGAGGGCCTCTGTCATTTACCCTAGAGCACTCATCTGCTTGCCCAGCCTCCTTGTTTTTTTTAGGTGGACAACCTTGCATTCAGAGTCTGTTCACTTGCCTTGAACTCCCACATTCTGCATTGACTTAAGGTTCTGTTGCTGGTGTTACTTGTCCTGCCAGGTCATGCTGCCCTCTTTTCATCCTCAAATAAACACACGGATATTATTAATTATAAAACTGTTTGTTGATGACTAGGGCTTTCTACTGGCTAGCTCTGTCTTAATTATTAACCCATTTCTATTAATCTACGTATTTCCATGTGGTCTTGGCTTACCAGAGAATGCCTGGATTTTGTTACTCCTTTTGTGGCTACATGGCATTCACTCATGGTCTCTCTCTGCCTACCTTTCCCAGAATTCTCCTTGTCTCCTACTCCCACCTATCTTCCTGCCTCTATTGGCCAATCAGTTTTATTCATCAGCCAATAAGAGAAACATATATACAGAAGGACATCCTCCATCAAGGTTCCACAACTTGACTTGTGCATATGTGTAGGAAGTCTGCCTCCTTGAAGAAATTACCCTGTGGAGTCTGCTTTGCTCTGTGGCAGCATGGTTCAGTGAGTGACTGCCACTTACAGAACCATTTCTGTCACTATGTGATCTTGACTAGTCACTTAATCTCTTTAAATCTTGGCTTCCTGGCTTATAAAATTGGCAATAATACCAACTTTGCAGCATTGTGGCATGGATTAAAGGGAATGAGCCTAAGAAGCGCTTAATCCTCCTGCTGGCATCAGCAGGGCTACAGCAAACATTAGAATTCCACGAAGTGCTTTCTCCTTCTCTAATCACAGCAGCTGATTCACCCTCTTGTGAACAAGCCACCCTTGAAGGAGCCTCGAAAGTTCTGTCTTTTGTGAGGATATTTCTAGATACTTTTTGATAAGGTTAAAAATATCCCCAGTTACTGAAAACCCACTGCTGCTGTAATAGGTCAGTTAAACCAAATGAATAAATTCAGGTTTAATCTGGTCAAAGCATTCCTGGGTAACCCCAGGGGAGCAGAAAACCAGGAACCATGAGGTAAATCCAGAGGTGGGGGCTTTTAATGCCCTCTGGGGATGGAGCCCCCAATGGTGGGATGTTTAGGTGGGGAGCCTGGACTGAGTCAACTCCAGGGCAGGGGCCTGAAACTTGGCAACCTGAAGGCGGGGTTTGGAACAAGGCTCCAAAACATTCCAACCTCTTTGGATAAATATAGACGCTACTGGTAGGGCTCCACCTAAACATTTCTTTGCCCTAGAAGTCTTTTATTTATCCAAAGTATGCTAATTACTGTGATCCAACTTCAGCTCATAAAAATAAGGCCTGCACTCTGCCATCTTAGGCCATGTGCATAGTGTGGGCCTCAGAGGTCCCTGGCCAGCCATCATTGCTGTTGATGTCCATTAGCCTGATGATCATGCTGAAACGGAAGCTCCTAGAACTGAGAAACCAGGGTGCTATTTTCTTCTACAATCTATTGTCTCTGATAGGGGACAGAATGGAGAGTGAGACAAGGGTTATGGAACACACAATTGTGGATCACATGAGGCTTTCCTCTCCCAGACATACATGATTAGCAAGATTGTAGGAAAACCAACACTACATACATAGCCCAAGAGGAGCACAGGTCAAAGGGTACAAATAGATCATTGGTCAGGACATCACTTGCCTTTAAAGAGGTTTGGTAATCTTGGGTAGTGTTTTGTTTTGTGGTTTCCTTGGCTTGTTTATTTTTGCTTTTAGACAAGAAAGTTATGAGTGCCCATGCCACAATATGGGAGGCTCTCAGAGCTGGGACTCTTGGGGGAGGGCCTAGGCCCTGTCCTGGATGAAATGGCAGTTACTGGAGATCCACCATGGAGGGCCTCACCCTCCTTGGGGATCAGAGTGGAGATTGGGTGGGGGCCTGGGGGACCTGGTGGGGAGGGTGGGGGAGGAGGGGAGGGAGAGGGAGCTGGGATTGGCATGTGAAACAAGATTGTTTCTAACCTAAATAAAAAAATAATTTAAAAAAGTTAAAAAAAAAGCAAGTTATAGGTATTGAAAGCTGAGAGGAGAACACATTCCAACACATCTATGAAATCAAAGGTGCCAAACCTGAGGAACACTGTGTGGTTCAGCAACTGATAGCAGAGACTAAATGAAGGGGAAGGTGGGAGAATGCGTGTTGCCAAGGCCAACTCATGGCATGAAGGCTTCTGACACCAAACTTAAGGGCTCAGCCCACAGACGGGGAGTTGTGTGAAGGGAAGAGATGGTAGCAACAGCTGAGGGTGACACAGTGAAACATTCCAAAGTGAAGAAGAGTGGAAAGTAAGCTCTTGATACAGAATAGTAACATTTTACTGTACCACGAATAATAAAAGACCAGTGACTGATACTGGGGTTCAAGCTTCAAGTTGAATATCAGAAAAACAAAGCAGCTGGTCACTAGCTTCTTACCTCAGGTTGAATGGGCTGATCTCTCACCAGATCTCAAGACTGTAACCTCTCATTGTGGCTGGAGAATGAATGTCTCTAATGAGACCTTGCTTCTGTCTTATATTCTTCCCTAATGTTGGGATTAAAGGTGTGAGGGATAACTCTCTTTAACACTGATTCACTCTTGTGTAGATCTGGGTGGCCCTGAACTCAGAGAGATCTGTCTACCTCTTAATCCTGAGTCCTAGGATTGAAGATGTGTCATACCACCTCCTAGTTTATGGATGCTGGGATTAAAGGTGTATGCCTGACTTCTATGGCTTGTGACTGAGTTTGCTTTCTGAATCCTTGGGCAAGCTTTAATAGATCATACGTAATATATCACTACACTTTACATCCGAGCAATTTGACAAGTTAAAGGCATCAGTATAGTATGTGTGACCCTGTTGGTTTAGTACCACTCTCTCCCCAACATTATTTCTTACCCTTCTCCTGTACCACTCCTGGTATCAGAAATTGGGCTCAGGTCTGACATCTCATCCTATGGCTCTGTTCTAATTTTAGCTGTGATAGAACACTGACCATAATCAACTTGGGGAGGAAAGGATTTATTTCATCCTATACTTTGCAGTCTATCTTCTAGAGAAGCCAAGGCAGATACTGACGAAGAGGCCATCGAATAGAGCTGTTTGCTCTTTATAGCTTGCCTGGCTTGCTTTCATGTATAACCCAGGATTGCCTGTTCAGGGCTAATACCACAGCAGTGCGTGGCCCTTCCACATCAACCATTAACCAAGAACATGCCCCCGACAGACCTGCCCACAGGCCAAGCTGGTGGAAGCAATAGCTCAGTCGAGATTCCCTCTTCCTGGGTGACTCTAGTTTGTGTCAAGTTGACATACACTAACCAGTGCAGGCTTGTGAGCTTTTCTTTCCCATTCCCCCCCTTTTCCCTTTGTCTTTCAGTGTTCTTATCTGTGTCACAGTCACTCCTGCTGTTGATAACTTAGAATCAAGAGCAGGAAGGTATAAAGTATGGACAGAGGCCCAGAGAGGGACAGATTTGATGTGACCAGGTGAGGAATTCCTCTGGTGACCCAGCTGAAAGCCTCTCCCCACAAGGGACTGAGAGAAAATGCTACAAACCCAACTGTGCTGTGGAGTGCCTGTTTTAATAGTAGTTGGAAAAAAACTGTTCTTTGTGGAGTTTATTGTACTCACATTTGACATTGAGCAACATAGAAAACACTGCACATGCCTTAGATGAAAATTTGCCTGCTGCATCTTATCGCATAAAGAATGAGCTCATCAAAGTCAAGAGTTTCTCTCAAAGAATTAAGAGAACTTTGGTGCTGAAAAGAACCCTTGAGTCCATCTTATTCATTTCCAAACACATGCAAATGGATAAACTGAGGCCATAAGTGAAATGTTTGCCATGGTCAGAGCTAGTTAGCAGCTGTCATAGCAAGAACACAAGTGCCCTGGCTTCCAAAACAGTGAGATGCTGGGGCGGGATTGGGGGCGGGTTGGTTCTGTCTGTGTGTTATGAGGAGAGAAAGAACAGATGTGTCCGATAACTCAGTCTTGCATCAGTGAGGGCACGTACCAGAATTTCCACACTAGGGAACCTCAGTAGATCAGAATTTGTAAAGGTTGACTTTCATTGTTTCTGACCTCTGAACCAAATGCCTTGTAGGTCACTTCAGCATGGCACCCTCAGACACTGAGAATATCTCTGGGCCGTGATCTTGAGCTAAAGTGTTGAGCTGTAATAGCACACCTACAGAATTTCCACAGCTTCTACAGAATCAGCCCATCCTGGGTGAGCTGGTTTTGTCTTCATGAAGTTTCTGTGGTCCAAAAACCACAATGATGTTATAAGTTTTGCCCTGTTCAGAACATTCTAGCAAAGCTCACTGACAATTTTGTCTGTAGGAATTTTAGGTGGAAGACTAAGCATATAGTCATCACTAGCCTTACTAATATTGGTGGTAATTGTGTGACAAAATTATAGCTATTAAGTATGCCTTGCCACCATTATGTCATTATCTCTAGTTAGAATTATAATAATTTGAGATGTTGAAGGATAATGCAATTTTGCTTTATTTTGTTACTGGATATTCTTGCATCTTTTGCATTTGAGGTAGCCTTCTTCTCTCAGTGGTCAGATATTCAGACAGTAATCCCCTACACCCTAGACCTGTATCATGAGTCCTCACAAAAGGGCTGTGGGACCAACTCCAGGGGGCTGCCTCCTAAGGCTACCCTGGGGCGTGTCACTGTCTTTTAGCTGGCTGTATCATATTTCTGTCATGACTTAGTCATATTTATTGGAGCTTTTCTTGAAAAGCAAGTGGCCTG